ATTTGCTTGGTGTTATTTTTTGATGTTCAACATGTAGATAACCGTAAATGTGAGTATTTTTTCTAACGTATGTAAAATGGTAACTAAAATCCGGCCCCGGCCGGTTTTTGAATTTCAAATCCGGCAAAGTCCGGCCCCGGCCGGATTTGAAAAACCTGAATCCAATCCGGTGCATCCCTAATATACATACATTCATACATACATACATACGTACATACATACATACACACATACATACATACATACATACATATATACATACATACATATATACATACATACATACATACATACATACATACATACATACATGCGTACGTACATACATACATGCATACATATATACATTGATAATTCACACCTCTTAATGTCTGATATGCAACCATTTATTCACTATTCCAAAACCACAGACCTGATTAGGCAGAGCCAGAACACCCAGTCTAACTCGGCCACTTCTCGAAGCACTCGACTGAATGGAACTCATGGAGTTTATCGATTCGTGACTGCCCGATCGAACCAAACCACCTATGCTACTGCTGGCTGAAATTATCATAATTTATTATAATCACTTTAATATTTATGAATATTAATGAGGATATTTAAAATAGTAATCAAGAATAAACAAAAATAATAATGAGTATTGCCAGAAGCTTACAAAAAACAGTTTGAAAAAATAAAAAATTAAGAACATGGAGAAATTTGCTGTTACTGGTTAGTTTGTTCCTTGCAGCATTGATGACGTTTGTTGTCGCTGCTGTGGCCGCTGCTGCGGCTGCTGCCACTCTTGTTACTTTTGCTACTGGTGCAAATAAGCCAAACTGAGGTGGACATTTGAAATACCTAGAATGATTTGCGGAGTGAATGAAAGATTGATGAGTGAATGAATGAATGGATAAATGAATGAATGGATGAATAAATGAATAAACGAATGAATAATTTATTGGTTAGTTGGTCGATTGATTGATTGATTGATTAATTGATTGATATAATGTAAGAATGAATGAATGAATGATTGAATGGTTATCTTGTTGATGTTGGTTTACATATGCCTACGCCCATTTACATACGCATGCAAAGAAAGCAACAAATACATTACAAAACGGCAACCAATCACATCATTTTACCTCTTCCCATCAATGGATCCATCATTCTTTCCTATTGGCTCATCAAGTTCAATGCCTGCCCAATCACCTTTTGCAAACTGTGTCTGACCAATGAACTTGAGTGTGCCATATTTTGTACCACCCACAACTACTTTGTCACCTGGATTACAAACCATTCATCACACTAAATTTATTTGTATTTTTACCAAAAAACAATCACAAAAACGTAAAAATTATTTAAAAAATTAAAATCAATTAAATTTCAAAAAACTTCAAAATGAACTTTGAACCTATCTTGAGAGCTGCTGATGAGCAGACCAACGTAACAGCTTGCACCTGGTTCAAACTCACGTTCGAACCCTGGCTTGATTTCGGTAGACGAGATATTCTGCTCGATTTCTGCAAAAAAAATCGAACATGTGTATATCGTCATCATCATCATATTCATCACCATCATCATCATATTCATTATCACCATCATCATCAACATAAAAAAATAGCCACACAAGTTGGTGTCCAATATTAAGGCCACACACGCCACCATCATATAATGAGCGTCAAGCCACCTGGGGTGTCGTCTTGCTGTCAGGTGACGTTGGTGACACTTGCATGTTGTCAGATGTTTGAGTTTGATTTAATGTATCAGTAGTTGCTGCTACAGCTGCTGCTGGTGGTAGTGGTGTGGCTGTTGTTGGTTGTGGTGTCGTTGTTGCCACTGTCGTCGGTGATGCTGGTGTCGGGGTTTTATTCTCAATTTCTACTTGTTCTATGTTTTGTGGGTGATAAATAGTTTTATTAACAGAAATAAATAAGCAACACATTGTTTCAAGTGCATGAAACCCAACTAAACAATGAAGCAACTGATAAAGCGACAATCACACAAACGTTTATCAAGTGGAGCAGCAGCAGCGGTAGAAGCAGCAGGCAAATGTTCATGCCCAGGCACCACATCAATTGGAGTGGAAGCAGATGAACAAAACCCTGAACTCCCCTTGTCATCCATGTTCCCTCTTGAGCCTAATTCCAAATTGGGCAGATCATTGCTACTGATGGCAGCTGGATAAGCATCAGGAGTCTTAGAAGTTGTGGTTGCTGTAACGTCATTAGCGCCGGTAGGTTGGGTGGTTAGCTTAGCAGCTTTTGAGAAGACACCTCTGAGAGGTTCACATGTGAAATATCTCACCCCACCCACACTTCCATCATTTTTACCATCAGGCAAGTCCAGGTGCACTCCCACCCATTCCCCTGGGGCAAATTTTGTGTCCCCGATGAAAGCAACAATTCCTGACTTTGCTCCATTCACCCAAACTCTATCTCCCACTTTGAAAGATGATGATGACTGCGATGAAACATCTGTAACAGATCCTAAATAGCATGAGAACAGAATCTCAATTGCATCAACAGTGAACATGATGTGATGTTTTTACTCTAATAAATAGAATATAGAAATACTGAATCACCAGTTAAAAATATTTATATAAATTTTTTAATTTTAGCATAAATTGTCATAAATATAAAAATATTTATACAATAGCATGTCAAAAAAAATGCAGAAATAAAAAACAAACTGACCAAGCCTGGACCCTGATGTCTTTTTCAACAAACTAGATGCATTATGCTCAGCAGCACTAGGTGCAAATCCTAATTTGCTTTTAGGGGCTAGATAAGTTAATATCAATATAAATGAAATGTAAATAAAATATAGTATAAAATAAATAAGTAGTATATGTGTACCTGTACATATTTAACATCATATACAAATAGATTATTGAATATGATTAGTATATATACAATAATATATATAATAATTATATAATAATGATTATTGTCTTGTTTGTGCTATGCTAGTTACAGATTAGTTTTTAAAGCCTAGAGCACCATATTACCAATGGCAGTCCTTTGGTTTGATTTGATTGATGATTTATGCATGAATTTGATTCATCATTCAATTTTCAATTGTTCACAATCATGATTCATCGTGTCATGATTCATAATTTTTTAATTTCATTTTACTTTTAATTAATTATTAATTTAATTAAATGACTGACAAATAAGATTCTAAATAATAACATGAACAAACGCTACACAAATATCTACGTTTTTGTGTTAATTTAATAATAATAAATTTATAAAATGGAAATAAAACCGGGCCCGGCTGGTGTGGCAGCCACAAGCGACTTGTTCGCAGTAGTAGCAGATGATGATGAATTACTATTTGAGTTTGGCTTCGTTGCTGCGGACAACTTCACTAATTTTGACAAATTTGGTGGTTTTTGATTCATTTTTTTCCTATTATTTAAATATCAAATGTTATTCAAGTGCATGAAATATATTTTTTTAATTATTAATCACAAAAGTTGAAAAAAAACAGAAAACGTCAGTTGAGTCAACCAGACAAATTATTTAAATAACAATCTTTTACAAATATGGAAGACCAAACGTATAATACAATCAATCAATCAACCAACCAATCAGTCAATCAATTATTTTATAAAGCGTTATTTCCGCAATGTTCAACAGGGCTCCCAAATAAATTTGCAAACAGATGGGTTTTTAGATCCGCTTTGAACTTCTTAAGTGATGGAGATGTAGTCAGAGAAGTAGGTAGAGAGTTACAGAGAGAAGGGCCAGGAAATGCAAATGCAGATTAAGCAAAAGAGTGTTTAACACGAGTTATAAAGTAAGAACAAGAAGACGATTGTAAACCAGGGCGTTTGGGTTCAATTAATATATGTGATAAGTAAATAGGAAATAATTTAGATTGAGACTTATACATAAACGTGCAAATTTTAAAAATTATTTTATATTTCATAGGTAGCCAGTGCAAGAGAACAATATATGGAGATGTATGAAAAAAGAAAGGAGTTAAAAGCTTCACTTAAAGCATAGAGTGTAGAATCAGAAAGACCATAATAGAGTGAGTTACAATAATCAATCCTAGATAAAATTAAAGTAGCAAGAAGGAGAAGGGTAGAATTATCAAGAAAAAGCAAAAGTATTTTTATTCTACGTAGATGAAAGTAAGAACTTCTAACAACACTATTAATCTGAAAAGAAAGAGACATGCTAAAATTAAAGATAAAGCTCAGATTACGAAACTTACGAGTACATCAAGAGTTTTAGAATTAGCTAAGATAATGGAAGGAATAGTAAAAAAGCGTTTAAATTTATTAAAACAATTTAATTGAGATTTAGAAGGATTAAGTTTAACACAAATAGTCAGACAAAGCGATAATTGAAGAAAGACGTAGAGATGGATTATGAAGAACACTATTGAGATAAGATAGAGGAAAAGAATTATAAATATAAGAATCATCAGCATATAGTTGACTAGTGAAAGAAAAATTAATTATACGAGGTAGTTCAGAAGTGTAGGGTATAAATGGAAGATGGCCAAGGATAGAACCCTGAGGTACCCCAAAAGTAAGAGTAGAGGAGTTAGAAGTAGCATTATTAAGGACAACAGAAGAAAAACGATTAGAGAGATAAGAAGAAAATCAAGATAGACAAGAATCAATAATATTAAAAGATTAATCTAGCAGCCACAAGAGAATAGAATGATCAATGCTGACCATAAAGTTCTAGAAAGCTTTGTAATTACATATTAATTATAATAATTTATCTAAATATTGATTACAAGTGATAATAATAGAGCATATGCTTCGCGAAGTTTAATGTAGTCTATGTAATGTAATCAAGATAATATGATTATGTAATCAAACTGGTCTACGGTTTGCTTATTCTTTTTTCTTCCTGCATTTTTTCATACGCATGGTATCTCCTAAACTGTATACATACAGACAACAAAAACTTTTAAGATTTTATTGTAGACTTGAACACTACACTCACGCACACATACATAAAGGAACTCGGTAAAAAAAACTTGTTTTATTAAAAAGAAGTTTTTCAAGATGCCTTCATTTATAGAGCACTCAAATTTATATTTTAAAATGTGTTGAGCTAAAAAGAATTCAATTGTGGAACGTCACTGAGGTGCGGCCGGCGGAGGTTGTATGGGTCCCGACAGTGAGGTTGGTTGTGATGCGGAATCTGGTGAAGTTGACATCGATAGTCTTGCATTCACTTTTCTTAGATACACAAAGACAAGAATAAAATACCCGAGCTGTTAATTAAGTAATTAAAATTTTATTTACAGTCCACATTATACATTCTTGCCATCAATTTTATTAAACAATTTTATAATTAATTTGAAAAAAATTTCTCAGCGGCATACGTAAACAGCTTCTATGGATACGATTTCAAAGACATTCAAGGCCAGGTGACGTTTATGGGCTCTGTGCATGGAAGCTCTGCAACCCTGAATTTGACAAAGGCAGGAAATAAAAACAACAAGTTAAATTGTTGAACCATTTTTTTTAAATTAATAAAAAATTTAGATTTTTCGGTTACTGTTTGATAAAACTTGTTTTCGGCCACCAGACATTCTGGTAATTTAAGTGCCGGATCACAGCAGCTTTTCGGCAAGGAATTCCCATCTTGAAAATATTGATTCATTGACCAGTCCTTGTAACTGTGTATACCACAACATTTCTCCTAAATCAATTTCGCAATCGTTTATTTATAACTTCACAAATTAAACAATAAAATGAAAATTTTTAAATAATATACTTCAAAAAGAATCACAAACGGTACAAATTATAATCAAAAAATCACAACAAATAAATAGAGGTCATCCATCATTTGTTGGGATCACAGTTAGCACAGATCAGTCGCTTTTAATAAGCAGGACCCATTTGCTATTCTTTAATATTTGATCAAAGTCAAAACTTGACTCCGGATGCAACATGTGTAAGTTTTCTCTAATCTTGTCACCGTGCTGTTATTATTTAAACACATTTTCTTTGTTAGTATCATGTACTTTTTTTTAAGTCTTACCAATTCTGAAGTCTGATTCAAAACTTTCTCCGAGATAACATTGCTCTCTTTTCAAGTAAATTTCTTTTAATACACGATGAAAAAATTATTTAGTATGAAGTGGTAGAATAATTAAAAAGTAGTAGCACACTTTGTATTGTATGTTGGTAAGCATGTTTTCCTCTGACCCGTCGTAAGATTGCAAGTTGTAATCCATCATTTTGTTGATCAGCTTTTTTTCCTAAAAATTTGTGTGTTATTTTTTCCATTTTTTTTGTTTTGTAAATTACAAATTTGGAATTTATAAAAACAAATTTAACAAACAAATTAAATAAAAGTAGAATTTAAACATTTTAAATTCAAATTTCAACAATGCGATGATTACTTTAATAAATAAGAGGACTGCCGCCGTTAACTCGACAAGTTGGCAGATGAACACAAGACCAACGATACCCAAAAACTGTGATGTATTTTGATGTAATCACAAAATAATAATAAAAAGAATATATCTAGTTGGAAAAATTGACAAAAATTTTAGACTAGAAATCTCACCAGATACATATACTTCATTTTATCATAGTAGAAACCGTACAAGCCGACAAATGCACAGATGATCTCTATGATGCAAAGCGAAGTAATTATGCCATACTGTACTTTTACAATTGTTATAAGATTTGGATTTTCAAACTTATCCAGCGTTACGTACAGGAATATTGATGCGAATGTCTGTGTGTTTGTGTATGTGTGTTGTGTGTGTGTGTGCTTGTGTGTTGTGCAGTTAAATTATTTATCGTTATTGCTTTTATTATTGTTGGAATATTGTGTATAAATAAGTATTTTTATTTATTGTTATAACAACAATGGTTTATATAGGTAATGCTGCATGTTACACGTTTAAGTTATCATAGAGAAACTATATTCTACGATAGACAACATCCCACTTCTCTGATAAAAAAAAGGATTGTCTTGAGGGCGTAATAACTGAAGACGCCTGTTTCAAATGGGAACAAATCTTGGCTATACAATGTGTGTGAAGCGTGGTTTTCACACGTACGCTGTGTGTG